CCAATATCAACACAGGTATTTTAGAAACTGTTCAAATGTGTTCTCGGTGGATGTCCATTAAACTCGGCATGTGCTTATGCCAGCAAAAACCGAAACGGTCTGGTCTTAAATACAGATGCTCTTTTGGCTGATTTCGCGTTGTAGTAATTTGCTCTTCTGTTGACTTTCTCACCATGTTTCATGTTAAATCATTATCACGCCACTGGTAACCGTGTGGTAGTAACCATACTGACATCAAGAAATGACAGTAAAACCTTACCAACAAGGTGAGATTGAACTGTAAAGACCCTCCCCCCGTATGCAAGCCGTTATCTGCGGTCCCTGATAATCTAATACAAATAAGATATGTGGATATCGTTACGTAGCCAAACAGTTCTTGTTTAAGTGCATGTAGCTGGAGCGTAACAAAAAGTAATCTGGAATTCTGAAACATTTGAATGGTTTCAAAGAGGTCAATTATACTGAAATCAACTAGCGAGATATTCCCACACCTCGGTTCGCTTGATTTATATTTTGACATAAATCATTGAAAGTATTTAGTCCTACAAGTGAATCTTGTGAGGTTCTACTGGACCTCGGATTGATGGAAACGTTACTGGGACCATCGTGATGGTCCCATAATGTTGCAGTGATCATTAATTTGCGTGTCCTCAATGCTGATGGCTGCCTGTGCTGATTAGTTGAGACCATATCCCTTAATTAATGTCTTCTCTTTACAAGATGGTAAATGCACAGACAACGTTGCCGTTGGTTGTTTTTTTGTCGTTTGGTGGGCATACATAACAACCGACAATTGGTTATATGCATGTCGACTAATTAGTGTGAAGAAACTCGGGGCTATGTCGCGCCGTTCGATGGCAATTACAAAAATGAAATGGAACCATTGCTCGTCATTTTTTTGCTCTAATTGAGGTTTGTCTTTTGCAAACATGAAATCGTTTTTTATAATTAGACGCCTCCGGTCGACGTACCCCTGGGAACGTCTGTTCCAAATTCTATACAGAATTATAAAAAGTCTGGATGATATATCTCATTGATATCAATTCTGCATAATTTATCGGCTTTCAATTAGTCTTTCGAGTTCTTGTCTTGAAGGCTGCTGGTGCGTAACATGAGTGTTGTGCGTTGTTGGGATCTTTGACGCCGACCTTATAAGAGAGTACATTTCTAATTGAGAAAATGTTTCAGACAGCAGTTGCTCGAAGGGCAACCTATCATGACAGCGCAAGAGTTAACGTTCTCAATCTGATTTCAAATTGTGTCTCAGAGTTAATGATCAACTCTAATCAGTGCGCGTTTCTTTAAGGCAAGATGTAATTGGAAATGTAAAGATAAGGCTGCTGCTCAGGACAGTCACAAAAATATTTGATTGTATCAAGGTTTGTGAAGAAGACTGTGTTCAAATGTGTTCGTGCTTTGTTGTTGAACGTATCGTATTGGACTTCTCAAAATACATGTTTTCAGAATTATCCAAAATAAAAATAATAAGATACAACACAAATGTAATTGAAACACATAGATTATATCACTTGTGACTTTTAAAAATGACTTGAATGAATGAAATATATAGAATATATTAGAAAACAATTCACAACCAACGCTCCTAAATAACAATCTTTATTATTTGAAATNGCCCCTAGAGGCGTTACCATTGTTTTTAATATTCAGCTTCCATGAAAACAACACAAGATGTCCATTTAGATATCATGGGCGCCCGTTCCCATGGAAATGTTTTAGCACCACCAAACACTTTTTCGGCCAAAATATGCTTGAAAGCGCTATTCTAGTAGTCTGAATAGCCACAATTTTATAGAAATGGTGACAGCCCCCCCCCCAACCAATAGAATGCGGTTCATTGTTTTCTGGAAGGACCTACACTGTTATACAAAAGACCAAGAAAATGCCCGCTTTTGGGTCTTGCTAATAAGTTGGCATTTTTTTTTCCTTTTTGATAAAGACTTTAGCAACTTCATTTTCAAACTTGATGTCTACTTGAAAATTAAGGCTATGTTTGTCAAACACTATTTAAAGATCGGCAATGACATACATGTATTAGTCATCTTGAATTGTGCAGGCTACATGTATACGTACATGTACATGTGTATAGTGTGAATTGTATGCAATGTACATGCATTGTACACTGTATTATACACGCTGTTGGTAACATCGTGTCATATCATATCACTAAGGCAAACCTTCTAAGCCCTGTATTCCTTATGTGTCGGTCATTGGTGACTCAACATTGTTCGTTTTGACAATCCGTTATGATTGATTTTGACGTGGTTAATCCCTTTAACAGTACCAAAATAAGCCAAGAAAAAACATTAGTGTTATTTTCAGAATTCAGGCTTCCATGCACAATACAACGCCAAACATGAGCGATATTTACATAAAACCATTTATGTATCCTAAAGCTCTCTTAAAATCGACGTTGGTCGTGTTACGGATTTTCCCCAATTTCAAATCTATGTCGCACATTATACTGTATAGTTGGTAAGTCGCAATGCCTGGATAATTGGTATTTACCTGTACATGTACATACTGTACAGGCCAACGTGAATATCAATATACATGTGTGAAAGTACGCGTTTTACTCAAGCGTAACTAATAATTCCAGATTCTCGCATGCAACTACTCTTACTGAGCAACTTCTCTTACGTTATGAAGTTACACTGTTAAGTGTCATCATTATACAACCTTTACTTGTGAATGTACTACGGTTAAAATTTACACCTGAACGCAATTGTGATCCGATGCATTTTTCTTTACCGATTCTTTTACACCCGCTATTAACTGCAGCTGCTCAAACACCTCATTACTGTGATATAAAATATCATCCAGATAGAAGTACACATGCATGCGGCTAATATTACATACGTAACTGACACAGATATAAGCTGTTTGAATTCTTGAACCATTTCCAAAATATCTTCAGTATGAACAATCCGATAGAATTAAAAGAGGTGGTTCTGCAAAAAAGTTTTTACATGTGCAAGACATTATCATCGGCATGAAAAAGTCGTTGAGAGTTTTTGTTATCTCTTACAACTAGCTATCACTTCATTTAGTGCTATCAAGTTTTGCACACTCAACTTATCTTCTCAGCAGTAAAGTAAAGCCAATATCAACACAGGTATTTTAGAAACTGTTCAAATGTGTTCTCGGTGGATGTCCATTAAACTCGGCATGTGCTTATGCCAGCAAAAACCGAAACGGTCTGGTCTTAAATACAGATGCTCTTTTGGCTGATTTCGCGTTGTAGTAATTTGCTCTTCTGTTGACTTTCTCACCATGTTTCATGTTAAATCATTATCACGCCACTGGTAACCGTGTGGTAGTAACCATACTGACATCAAGAAATGACAGTAAAACCTTACCAACAAGGTGAGATTGAACTGTAAAGACCCTCCCCCCGTATGCAAGCCGTTATCTGTGGTCCCTGATAATCTAATACAAATAAGATATGTGGATATCGTTACGTAGCCAAACAGTTCTTGTTTAAGTGCATGTAGCTGGAGCGTAACAAAAAGTAATCTGGAATTCTGAAACATTTGAATGGTTTCAAAGAGGTCAATTATACTGAAATCAACTAGCGAGATATTCCCACACCTCGGTTCGCTTGATTTATATTTAGACATAAATCATTGAAAGTATTTAGTCCTACAAGTGAATCTTGTGAGGTTCTACTGGACCTCGGATTGATGGAAACGTTACTGGGACCATCGTGATGGTCCCATAATGCTGCAGTGATCATTAATTTGCGTGTCCTCAATGCTGATGGCTGCCTGTGCTGATTAGTTGAGACCATATCCCTTAATTAATGTCTTCTCTTTACAAGATGGTAAATGCACAGACAACGATGCCGCTGGTTGTTTTTTGTCGTTTGTTGGGCATACACAACAACCGACAATTGGTTATATGCATGTTGACTAATTAGTGTGAAGAAACTCGGGGCTATGTCGCGCCGTTCGATGGCAATTACAAAAATGAAATGGAACCATTGCTCGTCATTTTTTTGCTCTAATTGAGGTTTGTCTTTTGCAAACATGAAATCGTTTTTTATAATTAGACGCCTCCGGTCGACGTACCCCTGGGAACGTCTGTTCCAAATTCTATACAGAATTATAAAAAGTCTGGATGATATATCTCATTGATATCAATTCTGCATAATTTATCGGATTTCAATTAGTCTTTCGAGTTCTTGTCTTGAAGGCTGCTGGTGCGTAACATGAGTGTTGTGCGTTGTTGGGATCTTTGACGCCGACCTTATAAGAGAGTACATTTCTAATTGAGAAACTGTTTCAGACAGCAGTTGCTCGAAGGGCAACCTATCATGACAGCGCAAGAGTTAACGTTCTCAATCTGATTTCAAATTGTGTCTCAGAGTTAATGATCAACTCTAATCAGTGCGCGTTTCTTTAAGGCAAGATGTAATTGGAAATGTAAAGATAAGGCTGCTGCTCAGGACAGTCACAAAAATATTTGATTGTATCAAGGTTTGTGAAGAAGACTGTGTTCAAATGTGTTCGTGCTTTGTTGTTGAACGTATCGTATTGGACTTCTCAAAATACATGTTTTCAGAATTATCCAAAATAAAAATAATAAGATACAACACAAATGTAATTGAAACACATAGATTATATCACTTGTGACTTTTAAAAATGACTTGAATGAATGGAATATATAGAATATATTAGAAAACAATTCACAACCAACGCTCCTAAAAACAATCTTTATTATTAAAAATATTGTAACTAAATAACACATACATGTTCTGACTTATCTGCTAGATAGGCTTCAGAATTGAATTCTATCACTGACCTCATGCAACATTCGAGTTCATGCACATACATTCTATACTATGTGTGTTGTACACTTTGCTTCGGACAAGGAAGGAATGCACAATCATCGAAAAAAGGGAAGGCATAATAAGCAAAATACATTATGTGCAGGCACCTGTAGTACGTGGAAATATGTGAAAGAGGATAATTATTCACAGTAACCTGGCATGCCATACCTTACGAGGAGGGTGATATATTCTCAATAAATCTACCATAACAAGGGCAAGAAAGAATGATCAGTCGGATTTCTAAACAATGTTGCGACCCAGCCGAAGTTTTGCATGTAATTTGAATATGACGTCATTCATTTAATTGAATTTGTTTATACAGGGTTCTATATCGTAGTTGTCAAATTAACTTGTTTACAGTACATATACTTCATGTAGTAATATGCAAAGACCAATCCCACAATCAAGAACCATCCCACAACAAAAACCTTGACCTAAATCTTTGGGAAATTAACTTATTTAAAAACAAATAAAATGGAATAATGGATACGTTTCCTAGGTACCAAACATCGTAAGCGGATTACGACTGCGCCTTTTTTCGTCCTGTTTGCAAATTGATATTGAAAACAAGTGTAAATAAGTCTCTTCGTGCAATGTGGCAATAATCAAAATAATAAGAACGTCGGAATGGGAATTAGTGCACATATATGAATAATTAAGACAATATATTGTCCTATAAACCACAAACATGAGTCTCTTTTCCCAACGTCGATGAAATTAAAACCAAGGTTGTCCAATCGATAGAGATAGCCCGTAGTGCGCTTGGAAGCGAACGACAGTTTTTAATTTGTCGAGTAAAATCTAGATCTGAGTTTTTACACCTATTTTACGACGCGAAGCGATTGCTATTTTCAATGAAAGGTCTTATGTTACTAATGCAACGCCATCAATCAAATCCAGGGATTTACGGAATTAATAATTCGGACACCGTGTCGAGTGTATTTTTCGGGAGTGAATGTAGAATCCCCGTTCGATATGCCAAGTGAGACATTATAAGCGTGTTCTCCGCGTAATGGACATTGATCGGTCTCTTTGATGTATATCTCCGTATTTATGACAGGTTTTCGATAGCTGACTTTATCCAAAACAGCCTGACCGTTTCTTTATCAAAAACATGAAATATCATCCCGCTTCATAGCGGCAGTCGTATCAAGTATAGCACCCACAGGTAGTTTTGATTTTAATACGAAAACGAGAGAAAAAAAGGAAAAGACATGTACAAACTAAAATCCAAAAAATTTAAACAGAAAGTTTCTGAATGGATTTTGAGAAAACTAGCCAATGTGGCAGTTACGAACGTAAAATTTACTAAGATCAATTCGGCAATCATCTCAATATTTAGTGAAGTTATTATAAACGATGTAAGTCTCACTAACGCTCGAGTTTGAATATATGCATCACCGGTCTCTACCTGATTGCTTATTGGCATTCGAAGCTTATCTAGTGGAGTCCGCTAACCAGTCAGTCAGTCTGCAGTCTACAGCGAGAGGAGCGTTGCGCCGAGCAAATTGCCCGGATGGTAGCGGAAGGAATTCAGCAGGGTTGCCACCTGGGATAGTGTGCGTGTTTAGTTGTTTATCTTGATTATCACACCTGACACCACCTCCACCAGCCATTGGTTACTCGGTGGTGCGTGGCTCGCTCGTACAGGTGAGCAAGAAGATAGCACCACGCTACGTCTAAGATTGCTCTGAGAAGCTGCTGTCCTCTCGCGGTCTTTAATTAGCTGGTCCGTCTTGCTTTGACAAGCGAGCTCAATTAAAAGCAGTGCGTCTTTTTTCGATACAAGTTTATGTGCTTGAGACTGTTGCTACTGCGCGCGCGCTGTTTGGATTGGTGCATTCTGTTCAGTCTGCATTGCTCCGACGAAATTTTGCAACTGACAAAGTTCCCGTCGTCACGTTAGTATGTCACCATGCTTACTTTCGTATTTGTATTTTTAATCGCATATTTCTCAGGCGCTTATTGGCTGAAAGCGCTTGGCTTGATTTTACAGAAAATAGGTAGTATCTGACGTTATGGCAAGCTGAGGTGTTGATTTGGCATTATTCACTTTTCAGAGTTTAAGCCTAGGCAGAAAGCAGAAAGGACAAAGGTGTAAGGATTTTCAGTCCTACGACCTCTGAGTTTGGAAATAGCTTAAGGGTCGTTTTCCATTTTTTCGTGCATATGAAATCCCACCGCGGCACGGAATACTATACTTCGGACAGTTTTGAGCATTCGGCTGAGAGCACGATGAACTTCGCGCAAGAGGAGTTTAAAAATAGCAATGGCAGCCAAGGAAAAGGCCAAGGGGATTGCATTTCGTCAGTGCGATGGAGTGACAACCGTGCAATACAAGCTATACGATAGTACATATGCTGTGATTCCACGTACTGCGGAGGAGCTGCGGTAAAATGAGCGACCAGAGATAGGGTCCCTAAGCTATCAGATTAATGACATATCAGACATTCGAGATAGATAGAAGTGAAACGCTGACAATGAGTGCTTGCAGCTGGGTTCCACTCAGCGGTTTTAGATAGAAGGATGGATAAAAGTGTGGAGGAAGGAAAACTTCAAGTTTTTGATGACTTTAAAGATGATGATGACGACGACGATGATGACTATGGTGATTACGATGATTACAGTGACGACGAAGATGACCAACCGCGGCGAAAAACACTAAAGAGACGATGCATATCATGCATGAAACAGTTTGTTGCCTTTCTTTTTTCTCACATCGGTCTAAGCTGTTTAGTGGTGGCTTATTGTATATTTGGTGGTTATGTATTCCGAATGTTAGAATCAGATAATGAACTTGATGTTAAAAAAGGGGTGTCAGATCTCAAACGGACTTATGTCAACGATATGTACAATGAGACAGTTGTGCTTAACCATGCTTATCAACCCAACTGGACACACATAGCTGACACAATAGTGGACAGTGCTCGAATTGCGGAACCCCCTGAAGTCAAGATCCACGAATCGGATGCCAGCAGGACCAGGAAGATAAGTGCTCTCTGGAACTTGACATTAAGACTGAATGTCTTAAACCCAACGGAATGGCAAGAGTTGGCGCATAAAGTGTTGAATGAGAGCCTCTCTGAGGATAGCTATGACATCAAAATTGTCCATGATGATCGTGAGAAAGTTAGGGATATCATAGAAAATGTGCTGACAACGTACTCGCACCACGATGAACCCGCGTATTATCTCTATAGAAAGAGTTGGATAGCCTACACTGATAAAAAATTGCAGGAGTTTAGCGAAAAAATTTATGTCCAAATAAAAGATTTTGGATGGGATGGAACAGAAAACCCCGGACTGCTGTGGACATTCCCCAACGCACTTCTCTACGCTGTGACAGTCATTACCACTATAGGTAAGAACTTTTCTTTTATAATCAAAATTCTACTAATTGTTACATGCACCAACACAAAAAAATTCAAAAGTAACTGGTAACATGTTTCTTACTTGAGATGGTTTCTTATATGTTGGACTTCAAGTAGACTTCGAAATTAAGCCACCAGTTTAAGTTGGAACAAATTTATTGGACACTACTTTAAACCAAAATGGGAAAGAACCTGCACCATGCAAGCAATTTGCTCCAATTGTTTTAAGACAACAAATACAATAGAACGCGTGCCGTATATTTAGTTAATAAACAATCCTATTTAAACACAAAGAATGCCCTTCTGCCCCGTTCTTTGGCCCTAGTTAACCTTAGAGACAGGACTTGCCAAGTGATGTGTATGCGCTAAGCAAACATAATCCAAAAATACAACAGTGTCTACAGACACCGACAGATATCCATCGCTTATCTGGAAATTACAGCACCAGATAAATCACACTGCACAAAACAAGACGTAGGAAAATCACCTCGCCAATACGTTGAGTTCTTAAGGTTGCTAATTTAATTTTGGCAGATCTCGTTAGGATTATAAACGCTTAACATATCGATCCACGCCAGTATTTGCCCGGTGCATCACTTTCTAAAAAAAAAAAAAAAAAACTGTGTCTGTAATAACGGTGAAGCGGGGGAGGATGACTTACGATTCCGCTGCAAGAGGAACTATAAATTCATATTGGCCTAAACCAGTTTTCTTAATCATATATTCTCCAAATATATAAACCTCGTGCTTATGCATTGGTTCCAGATTGTGCAAGCAAAATTACGTATGTACATTCGCTTATGGTGTATGTTCTATACTTCAACCAAAATAAAATACACCTGATGGTTAAACTTCTTGGAAATTAAGAAATGGTGGAGAATTGCGTTCGTACGCACATTTCCTGGGAATTTTTCGTTTTATTCTTTTGGCAGCCACAGACTGCGATATTATACAACATAAAGAATGTAAGAGGGAATCTATCATGATGAAATATCGGTTGGCTTAATTATGTCTTAGAAATGCGTGTGTCTGAGGCTGGTGTGGTTTCTACAGAGCTAAAGATACGGAGAACACATCCACGAGAAGGCAACAAACGAGACAATTGGTCGACTTTCTTGTAAGCTCAGCATACATGCGAAACGCTACCTTGTTTCATAAAACAGCTTACCTGTAATCCTTTCCAGATGGAAGGGTTTAGAAATGTTTTGGAACAACTTGAAAGAATTTTTCGCTTTGCAGCATGTGATACTGCCGTTAACCCCAATTAAGTTCGGTGATACGTAGACAGAGCTCACACAAAACTAAAACGTCAAAGTTACATAACCGAAATCCATTAAGTGTAGTTTTCAAACAAGCACCGTCGATGTTCGGATTATTTGCCACGTTTTCACAAACATAAGTTCAATCTGTTGCGGTGTTACAATTGATTTTAATGTAACGCTACACTTAGAAAATATATTCCACTCTATCAAATCAAACTCAGAAATCAAAATTAAACAAATACTTTGAGCCGTGAGTAGCTCACTGTCATCGATTGACGTATGTATTACCAGTGCAAATATTGCCCATCAGTGGGGAATGAATACTTGTAATATCTAAATACAATAGCATTGATGCGTGTCAGATTTCTCATTTCTAATACAAGGCCGTTCACGAAATCAATTAATGGGATACTACATACGTATAAATAGGCTTCCCTACTATGGATGATCAGCATTTTACGAACATAATTTGGTTTCGTAAAGTTTTACGATTGTCGGCGACAGATACGTGTTGTCCTACTATGGAACATAAACAAGTAGAACACTCGTAAGGTTTTCAACTTGTTTTTACGATTATTCTGCGGGTTTCTTAATAATCGATTCCCTATATTTTAATGCATTTTCTTACTGTAAATTGAAGAACGAACCAGACCTGTTCCCATTTGAGAAACACGTTTGGCAATTCTTTTCCCTTTCCGTCCCGTTCTCAAAGTTTGTGTTCACTACTGATCTCCATAGCTGTTTAAGATGCATATGGCATAGAAAGCTTTTAGTTAGGGCAGCTTACCCTAAGATATAAATATTGAAACCGTTCCTGAACTGTTTCTGCTTCTAATTTGTCAACATGGAACACAGTGTTTCCAGGCTACCGACGGTTCAAATGGCGTTGTTCGCGCATGGTGATACCGTGTTAATGGATCCTTAAAAAGGATTTATGGACTTCATTTCAAGATACCTGTACACCAAGTAAAAGCACTTGTTTGGTGAAGTACTTCCCAACGATCGAGTAAAGAATACCGTGATATCACCGTCCAATAATTATCAGGTTGCAGATTTTAGGATATGTTTCTTTGAAAGGATATGTTTCTTTGAGATGCACGAAAATTTTGTTAAAACAGGATTTAAACAGCCTAACAAATTTGAAATTAAACAACAATTTTCCGAAATATCATCTCGAAATACGATGGTAAAATACGTCTAGGGAATAGTTTTGGGTTGTAAGGTTAATCAATGAAAATAATAATATGAATGATGACATCACAAAATTCAAAAGGTGTATCAATTATATACATAGTATGCTGTCAGATATTAACATACATTCGCGAGCACGCGCACGCTCACATACACAGCGATGCGCACGCACGCACGCACGCTCTCTTACACAAGCACACTTACATGTAAAAGCGGTTAAGAGAACTGGACTTCAGCAATGCAATAGAAAGTGCAACATGACTTACCTTCCGTCCTAACTATGGTCGGTTTCATTTGACTCATTGACTTAATGTTGACACAATCAAAGTCTTTTGGCAGCGGTTTTTGTCAGCTTATTCATTTTAATGTTGTCAGTAAGTTTTGTTTAATTGTGATATGAGAATTATGTGGACATTTTTTCAACCAGTTTTACAAATTTTAGGAAAACCCATTATATGGCTTTCCGGTTATTTAAACTTACCTTGTCCATAAAGCTTCATATGTGTACAGACTAAGTAGAGCAACCTTTCCAAATATACTTCATGCGGTTTTAGTGGTAGAAAACTTTCTATATAGCGTCATCCTGCTCAGTTGGCTCCAAATGGTGTCAAGTGCTTGTAGATAAATCAAATGAGAATGAGGCATATTAATTGCGTAACAGTCAATTTTCCCGTGTTATCCTTAACGAGGTAGTGTGTGTAGTAATGTCTGTCTGTCTTCTCACATTATTACTCTGAGAGAACATATATATTTTCACCATTATAAATGAATCAACTGTGGCATGGTGCTACAGAATATATTTTTAAAAGGTGCACTTAAAGATAGTTTTGAAACAAAACCACACCAAACGCCAATAGTTTCAAAAAGTATAAATTAGAGAAATACCGATAGGCATCGTTTCATATCTCCAATAACAAAAACAAACAAAAAATTATATATGAACGATTTTTTGCTGCTTTTTTTCTGTTCTGTAAATATCTCTCAACAGTCTCGTTTGAATAAGTATGCAATTGCGTGCGCAGCTATACATCCATACATGGAAGTAAGGGCAATGATTATGCAATACGCGCAGTACTACGTCATTTAGCGGACCTTTATGAACTGGAGGGCCAGATGAATAGGTCAGAAATTTGAAGAAGATGCAGTTTTAAAGCTATTTTTGGGCTGAACGAGAGATTAATTTGGTTTATGACTTGGCATGTCGACATCATTTTAGTCGTATAAGAAAGTAATAGTAGTGATTTATACACAGTGTGCGTTACTGTATACACTCGCTTTATATCGAGTATGTATCGTTAAGGCGATCAATCAATCGAAATCTGAATACAGAATTTATTTTAAAAAATCAAGAACTGAATCAATCGAAATCTAAATACAGAGTCTATTTAAAAAGAAAAACACTCAATATAGCGACCTTCAATTGACATTTACTGGTGAATGTATAAAATAGGGAATGCTTTATTTCGATGCGACGATTGAAAAAAAAATCACACTTGGTGGTGGCAGTTTTGCTGCACTAGATAAAATAATATTTTGTGCGAGTTTCAAGTGGCCATATCTCAATGCCGTTGTATAACTGTAGGCCCAATTCCACCAATTAATGAAATCATTTTTTTCGGATGCAAAGAATTGGAACTAGATCCGGTGCTTACAATTTGATTGCACTGTTTGAACGAATGAATAATGCCGAAATGACAATGGCAGTGATGGTAATGTTAAGGTCTTAACAAAACGTCTAGTTCTAAACGAAGTTAAGGGGCTTAACAGAGCGAATCTGCTATTATAGATTACCCGTCATCTCATGAATTCAGGCAGTGCAACCTCTGTTTATGTCAAATTAAAATTTCGCAGGCGCCGTGCATTTTCAGACTATAATGTCCTGACAAGAGGGTAATAACCGACCGTCTGTCTAATTTTGGCAACAGCAAACTATCTTTAATAAGGGCCGTATGCGTCAAACGAGAGGAAAAGACACCAAATAAACTCCACATATAAATCAAGAACCAGCCAAAGTCGACAGTTGAAAGACAAGATTGATGCAACATCGAGTGTAAGTGCTTCAGAAGGCAGAGCTTAAGCCCTTTGCACTTTAGCTAAATAAATAAATCATTACCGACTTAAACGCACTCTCTGTCTAATAGAATGAATTGCAAACAACACAATTAGATGATTCCAGTGAAACAAAGAGCAGTTTGTGAATTATCTATAGTGCAAAATCAATGATAGCGTTTCCAAGAGCTAACAATATAGAATGACTGTCTGTGTAAATTGTTTATATATTGCAAGATGAAACAGTCAACGTTATCAAAATCTAGGATGAGACTTACCAAATTCCATCAGATTTTATGTATATGAAGAGATGATATTTTTTTGCAAGGTATATAACCCTCTCGAGATGGGCTAGGAGAGGGGTCAGCATGCATTCGAAAAAATGTGTGCCATGCTGCTAGTGACGTCACCGGAGCATCTGCCCTGTTTGTCTCTTTTGCAAAAAATGATTTTTTGAGTGAGTGAGAGAGAGGAAGAGAGAGAGAGAGAGAGAGAGAGAGAGAGAGAGGGGGGTATTTCGATCTGATTGTGGAGAATTTAAACAACTGTATATTTTCCGTTAGAGAAATATTTTAGTCTGAACATTCTTCACATTCGTCTCATAGCTATTCATTCTTCGTAGGTTTATTTGATGCAGCGAAATAAGGCAAGCTCATACATCTTGTTATTAATTAATGCTAACAAATGGTAAGGCTTATTATTATCCTGCAGGCATGTACATAGTGTCTATTGCGCGTTGTTTTCATGGAATGGTACTGAATGTTTTGCACAAATAGTCATTGGCAACAAATCTGAAGAAACCAAAATTTCAAATAACAGGATAACATTCTTCAGGTTTTGTTTATTTTTGTAGCAAATGACCAAATTTTCATACGCAGAATCTCGGCTGAAACTAGCCATAACATGCTGTAATATTGACGCGTTGGTGCTTTACCAGAATAAATGTCTACTCATGTAAGAGACACCAATTTTAAAGGGCATGGCGAGGGCGTTCTCTTACCATCTCCTGCAACATTCACCAAACTATTTCGCGTTGCTACTTTCCGAAAGAATTCGAGCAATTTTGATTTTTTCAAATTGGTTGAGTTTTTCTGTTGGTTTGCATCATCCTCAATTACCTCAAATTAAAGCAAAGGAGGCATTATAAGAGATAGGATGATCCAAATGATCTTTCTGGCATCTTAAGGTGGAACAACATTTTCCCGAATTGTCTCTGGATGATAAGAAATGCCGAAGTCTGACTGGAGACAGCAGGTGTATGGAGATCAAAGTATGGTTGACATTTAGCAACCATGTGGCGCGAAGCTTGCACGGAGGGAACAGGCCTATGTTTCGATGGGAAAATACTTTTAGTCGATTCCTGGGAAGTGCGAAAAGGAAATAATTCTTAAATTCAACTCCGTTCGGCACCACGCCCGTCCGCATGTGGTCTTCCCGTATTATTCAGCTTGGTGAAATTTTGAAGTCTTATGTAAAGGCATTACTCTGTGGGATGTGTTAAACCTGTATGTTTTGATAACGATTTATTTGATACCCTATGCTTGCACATCAGTGTCGGTGTATATTCTTTATCCGTGCTCTAGCACGCACTCTGCCTGACCATGGACAAGCAAATGTACATGTGTAAATGCACTTTCGTATGCATGTACACACCACACCAAACCTTGTTTCAATTTCCAGACGTCTACAGTTTTGGTATTA